TTTTCTAGGTGAGCGCGATATTGCTGCCTTACAAGGTTCTGAGTATTACTACTTATTAGTGCAAGATTGGCCTTTAAGACTCTGATCAGGGCTTAGAGAGTTAATTGCCAAGAGTTAAGCAATTTAATCAAGGCAGGGGCCATAAGATCAGCTGATACCGTTTTGTTGATCCAGTTCTAGATATTGCTTAGCTTGGCGGCATTGCGTGTCCATTTGGATGTGGCCACCTTATACTTCTGCACTGCCTCAGGGTGATCTTAGACTGCTTGATTGTAGTACTCCTGCGTCATACGTTGGGTTTGTTTGCCCAAGTCGTCCAGATCATCAATCTCTAAGGGAGTACCTTCTTGCAGAGGCTTAGGTGGAAGTTCTGGGTATTCTGGTTCCTGCTCATTGATTGGTGGTACAGTTTCAGCCTCTGGATCAATTTGATCCTAGATTGCTGTATCGCGAGCGTGAAGCTCTAGCTAAGCAGAACCAATACGGCCAATCCAATTAGTTACTTAGCAGGATTTGGCTAGAAGCCACAGTGGTGTTTTTGTAATCTATTTTTAAGGATTTTGGAGAAAAAATTGTGGAGAAGATAATCTTAGATTAGATGCACTTAGCTTAGAGTACGCAGGGAATATTAACTGTGTAGTCTTCTTACGCCAGGCTTATAACTGTGGAAGCTGAGTGGTCTCTGATTGTTGATTAAGTGTGAAGAAAGTGATTAAGTTCCTTGTTCTATCTACGGTGCTGAATGAGCAGAATATATACACTAATGCTCATCTAGCTATACCCTAATTGGAGCCCTAATCACGGCTCCAAGCTATACCTGATTCCGCTCACCATGGCGTGATAGATCGCCAGTGTCTGATCGGTCCAATATCCAGATGCGGATCACGTGATATGCACCCTCACCTCGATCCTTGCTGCGACACCAGCCAATTCAGGGGTGCAAATGTATGTACATTTTGCCTCTATTTTGGCTGCAACACCTTGCAACTTGCAGTAGAACTAGCAATAGACCTTGTACTAGTATAAGAGCCTTAGCTTATTCCTGCTAGACAATCTTCTTTAGATTACTTAGATACACGCTCTATAAATTACCCCTCCTTTACACAAATCCTTTCTTTGTTACAAGAGTACAGCACAAGACTACGTGTTTTAGTCTACTCTGCACACACTATACAAGCGCAAGTTACTGTAACAACGCTCTACGAACAGTGACCCGATACCACTAGGATACGGTTCTAGCAACTCATGACCATGGCCCTTGTCGCATGGCATGAGCTCACACCAAACTGCCACCAAACCCTTATATATAAGGAGCAAGGAACTGTAGCATTGTAGAGTAGTTTTTCTGTATCCTTTTGTACAAGACCTATAGGTGTAGAGAATATATCCTGGTGTTCTTATCATCCCAGCACTCCCATATGCCTCGTAGCGGATTCACACCTGTTCCGGATATCTCTCTTCTTGCCTGCATCGTTACAGTTACTATATTAGCAGACACTAGTCCTGATCCTAACTTCCTAGCTATTACAGTTAAGAGCTCTAGAACAACTTTCTCTATTTACAATGTCTACAACTAGCTAGACACACAAGGCATTACTACAATAGAGAGAAAGCTCCTTAGTACCTCTATCTTGCCCTCCGCCATCCTGCTTGGCGACTTTAATATTAACTACCTATGGTGGGACCCTATAGTAGCTACTATAACACCAAGAGCAGCTAGTTTTGTTACTTGGCTAGAAGAACAAGACCTAGAGCTACTAAACAGCCCTAGTACAGGCACTTTCTTTAGGCCTAACATGAATAGAGAGAGTGTCCTAGACCTAACCTTTGCTACAACACAGCTAGCAAACCTTATAGAAGACTAGCAAACGCTAGGTAGACTTAGCTCTAACCACCTAGGCATCTTATTTATAATAAGGACGCCTAGAACACAGCATCTTAACAAACCTGCTCCTAGGTTTAACATAAAGAAAGCAAACTAGAACCTATTTAGCAAAGTGCTAGCAAAGGAGATAGCAAACAGCTCTGCTCTTAGCAACGCAAGCACTCTAAACTACTCTACAAGCAGATCTCTAGCACTTATCCAAGGAGAAGACCAGGACCTAGAAGAGCAGCTAGAAACACTAGCCAAAGAGCTCACTACAGCTATAACTAAAGCAGCTAAGGCAGCAATTCCGCAATGTTCTACCACTGCAAAAAGCAAGCCCTGGTGGAATCAAGACCTAAAAGCACTTAGGACAAGCAT